AAAAAAAAAAAAAAAAAAAAAAAAAAAAAATTCAAGGTAAAAATTTACTTAACCCAAAACATTATGTGGACTGGTAATTGTTCAGATTAGAATTTAACTGGATGTAGTAAGTCGGGGGGGAAAATCTTAAATGGAATTCCAAATGCTAGAGATGGGGCTACGGTAAGGCGAAAAATTTTAGCTAAATTATGTATTTTTGTATTGTTCCTATTTAGTATTTGTTAATGGGAGAGGGCAAAGACACTATTTAACAATACCCATTACGTCTAAAAACAAGCACACTAGGAATCTGAAAAGCTCAGATACCTCACACACTGCTCTCTTGGTCAGAAGAGCTGTAAAATTCTCTTATAGGGGTGCCTACCAAGTTACAGTAACCTCCTTTCCCCAACTGAAACTAAAATGAAGGAAAAGTATTCTAAGAGACACATAAAATCTGCATGTAAAAGCATTCGATTAAATAATTCATAAAATATTGTCATACCTCATGTTCAAGAAACAACGCTTTCAGCTGACCTTTTGACCAATAATCCAGTGCATATGCCAAAAGTTTCATTGAGAGAGTATTTACACGTAAAAAGTTTCCAACAAAGACAACTCTGTTTATTTTCTAAAAGAAAAGAACCAAGACACTGACTTGTAGAACAATTATTAAATCAATTTCACAGTACAAAGATTTACAAAACACCTAAAAATGTAGGGCTAGCTATATAGCACTGTGATAATGCACAAATCCCACCACTGCCACAAAAAAGAAAAGAAAAATCAGCATTGGACAGGTCATTCATTATACATTTGTTAAAACCCACTGCATGTACCGTACTAAGAGTAAACCCAAATATAAACTACTGCCTCTGTATATGGAATTTAGTGATGAAGATTGAAAATATAGGTTCATAGACTCTAATAAGACAACTATATCACTCTTTGGGGGAATGTTGATAGGGAGGTTATGTATGTGTGTGGAAGGCAGGTACACTCGGAAACTCTACACTTGGTTTTGCTGAGATATAACTTTTAAAAAGCTGTTTTAAAAAATAAAGTCTACTTTGAAAAGCTCTGGAAAGATTCCAGCAAATGATTACATGTGATACCTGTTTTTGAAAATGGAGATAAATAATCCATCAAAGTTAAGTAGGAGATACCATATTGATGAGATTAAAGGATTCAAAGAAAAGTATTTTTCTTCTGACGCTGGAGAATGATCCCAGGTCTTCATACATATTAAGTACAGGTTCTACATTGACCTGTATCACCAGCCCCAAATATTTTAAAATTTACATTTAAGATAAACTGTAAATATGCCCAGTATGTCACAAAGCACATTCAACAAAGACATGCAACACAGATTCCATACAAGAGTAAGACAGCAACAGTGATCAGAGTGGTGCATATGCATCAACCCTATTTACTCTCCCCGTATCTTGACCCATTGGGTCATTCTCCCTCTAAGAGTCTATGAACACTAACTTGGCTTCTTAGGTGTCCTTATAATTGGAAAATCTTGGATGAGGGAACCAATTAAGAAAATCTATTCCTACTTTCACAATATATTGACGTCTTTTGTTTTTTTCAGACAGGGTCTTGCTTTGTAGTCCAGGCTGGCTTTGAGCTCACTGTATAGCCCAGGATGACACTGAACGCATAGCAATCCTCCCGCCTCTACCTCCAGAGTAATATGTTGACTGATGAGTACAAATCTTTATACCTGACTTTGGTAATATAAACCATGGCTTTAGCCGGGTGTGGTGGCGCATGCCTGTAATCCTATCACTCGGGAGGCTGAGGCAAGTACAATAACAGCCTGGGCTACATAGTGACTTCCAGATCAGTCTCAACTACATAGTGAGACCCTGTCTCAAAAAACCAACAAAACAAAACAAAAACAACAACAACAACAAAAAACCATGGCCTTACTTACTGATAATTGAAATGCCCAGTTTAGACCTACAGAGCCAGAACCAAAGCCCCAGATTACTTTCTATCCCCAAAGTAAATTACTCTCCAAATCTCTTTAATCAACTTACCACCCATAATTAAGAAATTTAAAAGATTCTGTATTTCAAGACAGAATAATCCAGAGTCTTTGCATAGTAGATCTCTGTGCTTGAGCCTCTCCCTAAATATCTGAATACGCAGCTACTGTCTCCAGATTGCTGTCTAAAGGTGATGGTCACACTTCTTACTCTTTTTCTATTTTTATTTCCTTCCTTCCTTTTGAAAACTTTAGAAGATTTTTAACAAACCATTTAAGCCCAAATTATTGACATGATGCTCTACCACATTCAAATACTTTAATATGTAATTTATGCAAAACCTTCCTTTAGCCACTCCATTACTTCAGATTTATTCTCTGCTACCCTCTGCCTTATTTTCAATTCTACCCGATTTTCTGTTTTCGCATTTACTACCTAATACATTCTAACTGATTTACTTTATCAGTAGAACAATGTAAATTCTAAGAAAACAGGAATCTGTTTTCTTCACTAATATAACATATCCCAAGGGCCTAGAACCATGCAAGCGCATAGTACTTCACTGTGATAAATGAGTAAATGAACAAATGGATGGTTCCTGCAAGAAGTTCCTAATCCATTTGAAGTTATCTAATATTTATAAAAATCGAGGGCAGGGGTAAGGGGAAGAAATGAGAAGCAAGACCTGTCATGTAAAGGTACAAAATCCCAATGATGAATGTAACTGTACTATATACCTAAAATGTACCAATAAACTCAATGAAAAAAGAGTTTATAAAAATCAAATGGGTAAATATTATATGTGTAGGTGGAATTACATATATTATTTCCCAAACTATATGGTCAACCTAGCAGTGTATGCTTTTTAAACTGTCCTTAAGAGTAAGCAGCATAGACCATTCAAGTACATGAAGAATAAGTCTCAATGCCTTCATAGCCCTGTACAATGCTGCTTGATCCATATGCAACAAGGCAGCACTGTAAAGAAGCCGAGGGCAGTAAGAAAACTCCCAAGCATTTTACTAATCAAATGCTACCAATAGTAAAAAATAAAAATTAAAATAAAATACAAAGTTTTCATAAATCACTCAGCTCAATATGTCTTATGCTTATTTTTTTTCACACTGAAGAAATTGAGGTTGTGCATTTCCAAAAGGTTTCTGGATAAATATAAAAGCCCTGCTAGATATACAAAAATCTCCAATTCACTTTTTTCATAAAATTTTTTTCTTTTACCTCATTTACAGCACACATTCGTGCCACAGAACCAATGTTATTGGTGATAGTTACTAAAGTAGCTCTTGCCAGATCTTCTTTACTAACAGATTCTCTCTTCTCTTTATAAATCATATTCCCAAAACTGGAGAGAAATGAAAAAAAAAAAATCGATTGGTAATGAGCACCATTTCATACATTGGCATATATATTTATAATCTGCATATTTTTATAAGTTAGGACCAAAAGTAAAAACAGGGATAAAATCAAAACAAATTAACAAAAACCCACACAAGGATAAAATAGTACCTCTTAATTAATTAAGGTTAAAATTCTCAAAGAAAAGCGTACAGCTATTCCCAGAAAAGATTCTTAAAATATTTAATTTTAAAACAATACAAAATGATGAAATTAAATGGTTATGGTGTTAGGAAGCCAATAAAATATACAGAAGGGCTGGGGATGTAGCTCAGTGGTTCCACTGTCTGCCTCACAGTACAAGGTCCTGAGTTTGGTCACCTGTACATTCTGACTCATTTTTAAAAAGTGAAAGTTTTCAAAGGTATTTTAGTTTAACGTCAAATTCCTTTTCTTTCAAGTACAAAGAACATTTATGACATAGGAAGCATTGTGTTAGCAACAAAGCCCCTCAGCAGTTTAAGTCTAGTATAGCACTGTCCAATATAGAAATATGAGCCACAGCAATTTCATGGTTTCTAATGGCCATTTTTGTTTTGGTACCAGGGAATCAAACTCAGGACCTTATGCCTGCAAAGCAGGCACAGTGCCACTGAACTAAATCCCCAGCCCTCTAATAGCCATATTTAAAAGACTAAAATAAATAGGTGAAATTAGTTTTAAATGTATATTTTATTTCAGACTATATATCCAAATATTGTCATTTTACATGTGCCATGCACTAATATCTTCAAAATGCTCGATGTACACATATGGCTCAAGACTACTGTATGGACAGTGCAGGCCTAGATGGAGGAAGAGAAAGCAGTAGAAGCAGTAAGTACAATAGGAAAATACAAACCAAACCACGGGCTACCCTGGAAACAAAGGAAAAAGGATCCTTTATCACTGTGGTAAGAGGGAAAAGTTGAGATGGTATGAAGAAAAGTTTTCCAGAGTAAAAGTAACAGAAAAAGTTGGCCACAAAAGAAAAAGAAAGAAAGAAAGAAAAAGAAAATCCTAGGCAGAAGCAACTAAAGGCTAAGGCACAAAGAAATGAGAACTGAAAACATCTATGAAATAAAAAGTGACATCAAATGGTAACAATGAAGGCCCATGTGAAGGAGATGCAAGGAATGCAGATAGTTTAGGCTAAGATCACTACTACAAAAGCACTGGATGTCTTGGCAAAGAACTTGGGAGGGTATAAGCAACAACCAGTTAGAAAATATAATGGGAAGTGAGAACGACACACAATAGAACCACCAAAAAAAAAAAAAAAAAAAAAAAAAAAAATCAGGAAAAAATTCAAAGTGCTGTATAAATATAGATGATTCCCATAATGGAGTGCAGCCTTTCAAGATATTATGCTTCTACAAATCTTAGAGTGCTGATATGTCAATACAGTAATGAAAAGGCCATGTATGATAAAGAAGTCATCTCAAATCAATGGAATAAAATGAACACTATTAATACAGTAAGTCCTTCAGAAAGAGAAGTGAAAAACTAAAACTGGATCTACACTTTACACACAATTCCAAGATAAATTATAAATAAAAAATTGCTATTAAATCAAATATTAAAATATAAAAGTAATACTACTAAAGTAACAGAAAAGGTTCATTCCTTTATATATTTGGAATGCGGAAGGCTTACTTACTATGAATCAATATCCAGAAGCCATAAAAGAAAACACTGATAAATTCAACTGTGTAACAATCCAACAGAAAAAGAGAACATGAACAATCACAGAAAAGAACATATATGTAAGGAGAAATGCAAATTAAAATTACACAAAGATGCCACTTCTCCATTAGATTAGCAAAAATCCAGAAGTCTGACCAACAGCATACTTCTAGTGAGGTTCTAAGGAAACAGGCATTTTCTTCTACTGCTGGTAGGGTGAAAACTAGACTACTTCGTTTGGAGAGCACATTTAAGCACTTACAACTGGGAATTTATCCTACAGATAAAACTATACACGTACAAACTAAGGATTTATGACTATAATATGGAAAGATTTCTAACACATATGGCTACTTTGGAGAATATATAGTATACCATATGTTATAAAATATAAAAGTATACTACAAAATGGTACAACCTTTTGTACAAGAGGACAGTGAGACTATGCATTTGTACTTGAATAGAGTAAAAGGGAAGGCTATTTCAGAATGAAGGGTCTTCTTTCTCTTTTGAGCAAGTGTCTGCTACACAGTTCAGGCTGGCACTGAAAATAATTTCTCCAGGTTGGCCTCAAACTTAAGATCCTTCTACCTCAGCCTCCAAGGTGTTGGGATGACATGTGTATGCCACCATAGCTGGTTCTAAAAGTGGATTCTTACAGGGTAAACCTCTCTGAACATATACTTTCTAGGCTGTATCAATGTTAAAACTTGAAACCTAAAAAGGGTAAAAGAAAGCAATCTCATTAACTCCCTAAGAGATTGCTTTCCAAAAATTAAATAAACAACCTGAATAACACTAATGTTGAACTCACCTAGATGCTACAGCCCAACCTGGCAGACCAAATCTTTCATAGTCTCCTCCATAAATATCTCGGACCAGCTTGTCAGCTTGGGTGCTATCACCTTTGGATGCCATTTCAAGAGCTTCTTCAAAACTTTCACAGCCAGTCAATAAACTGCATAAGCCAAGAAAGGTCCCCCCTCCAAGGCTAAAGAAAATAAAGAAAATTTGCAAAGTTACATTCAGACACTCTATTTTCCCCCCAAAGCAAAAGGGTACAGCATTTATTGACTAAACACACAGAAAGAACACATTACTAACACTAAATGCTAGTGAAAGAAGGCAATAAAAACTGCTTAGTGAAAACAAACCTGTACAACCAAATAAAGCAAGGGGATAACCACTTGGCACCCTATACTTTATACTTTTGTAGATGCTAAAACTATTTTTGTGTGTGCATTAAAAAAGAACATTAGTGGGCCAAGGATTTAGCTCAGTGGTTCCGGTGCTTGCCTTGCAAGCACATGAACCTGAGTTTGAACCCTGGTACCAAATAAAGAAAGAGAAAGAAAAAACAAACAAACAAAAGAATGTTAGAGCTGGGCATGCTTGTGCTAGCCTGCAACCTCAGCACTTAGGAGCCTGAGGCCAGCCTGGGCTGCAGAGTAAGTTGAAAGCCAGCCTGAACTGCACAGAGAGATCCTGTCTCAAAAAAAAAAGAATGAAACCTAAAAAAATCTATTAAACACTGTTATTTCTAGTAAATGTTCTTATCAAACTCTGGGAAAAAAATCAGAATCATTCTAGATAAAAACTTACTCATTACTAAGAAAACTTGAATGCTGATAAAATATTAATAAACATTTACGGATTTTCGTTCTAATTAATCTTTACATTTGCATCTTAGAAAAAGATTGCCTACAACATTAAAACTTATACACTTAGTTTTTTGCTGTTGTATAAATACATGCTATTTTTCAGGTAAAACTAGCATCAATACATTGATTTCGTGGCTGGGACTATTGCAGAGCAGAAGCACTTTCCTAGAAAGGAAGGACCTTGGTTTGACCCTCCAGTGCTCACCATAGTAATTTGGTATTTCTCAACTTGTAGGAATAAAACATTGTGAATGTGTTTTAAAAAATTTTTTGTTAAATGTTACTACCTTGTTCCAGTCACGCGCTTATAGTTGTCTTTGGAATGGACTGCTAAAATACTGACGCCTGAGCCAATGTTCACTACCAGCAGAGGATAAGGATCATCTAGGTTAAAAGGCATCTTTTGGCATCGCTCAGGTTCTGAGGCATTAGCAAAATAATAGCACTCTGCTTGGCCATTGAAACTGACAGAATCTATATACAGCAAGCCCTTTACAAGGCAGTCAAGTTCATCCAGTTTGTGCAGGTGGAGGTTTCCAATCTAAAAAATAAAAAATGAAAAGTTTAAGTGGAAGGCAGCATTCAAAATACTTGATTCAACTTTGATGCATAAATTTCATATACTTGTGATGATCTGAGCCTACATAAGCACAAAGCATTTTATCTATGTGTATAAACATATCTTCCATGGTTCTAACATACTGAATATGCTAGGAATTCAACCACCATACAAATACGGGAATATTATGCTTTTACTGTTTGAAGTTTTACTAAACAATGAACACCATATCTTGGGAAATGTCACCCACAATACCACAGCTTATAGATTCTGATTTTCATCTGCCTTGCAAGCCAAGGTCCTGAGTTCTATCCTCAGTACGAAAAAAAACCAACCAAACAAACAAAAAAACCCAAAAACCAAAACTCTTCCAGATTCTGATTCTCTAATAAAATATACTGTGTTGAGCTGTCATTTGTAGCTTTTGCATTTGTGAATCTTTATGCAGGTGCAAATACTTAATGACTTCATTATGTCCTCCAGTACGATTATACCAGCAAAAATTTTTACGTAAAGATCTTAATTTCTTGCTTTTGTTATCACAGTTGGATACCTGTTTGAAATTACTAAATTCAATTTAGGGAAGAGTATACTGTGAGGTACTGTACTTTTACTTAGAATTCACACGTGGTCTAGAATAACAATACTCTGAGGATTATATCTGTCTTATTTTTAGTTGTATTCTTCCAATACTGAGCACAAAACCTGATAACGTACCAAATGCTCAAATATTTGTCCAAGAAATGACAGTACTAAAACAAATTTACAGAATTTCATCATTTAAAAAGTTACATATTTTAAAACATTAGAACATCAGCCAGGTAGGGTTGCACAAGCCTATTATCCCAGTGCGCTGGAAGGATGGGGCAGGAGGATCACATGTCAGAATATAACCCAAGCAACTTGGTGAGACCCTTTCTCAAAATAAAGAACTTGGGGGATAGCTCAGTGTGAAAGCCCTGGGATCAATATCCAGGTACCACACACATATATATACACCAAAACAAAAGCAAACAATAAAACCCTCCATATCTGGTTATCAGTACTTCAATGGCCAGGTGAAAGCTGGCTGCAAGCACACTGCTTTCAGCAACAATACTGACAAACAATAAATACTCCACGGCTAGACGAACTGATGGCAAATTCATGAAATTTATTTTCATAACTACTCACTGAATATTTATCAGACTTATCCATCAACAGAAAAAAATTTAGTATTTTCGATCAAACTACCAATTATAAGCTTGTTTATATGAGCCCTAAGAGAATATTTTATTACCAACATTTTCAATGAGTGAAAAATTAAATAGTCCACATTTACATTTTCAAAGAAAACAAATTTCAGTAGCCCCAAATACTAGCTTTGAACTTTAGTGCCAAAACCAGACAGAAGCTTTGCAAACTCCTAACAGCATATAACTAAAATCGATATATTAACCCCTGACTTAGGAACGATCCACCTGAGAACTTTCACAGTACAAATGGAACATTCGCAGACGTGAACAAATCATGGAAGTAGCTCACGTGTCTGGCAGATACTGTCACAGTTGTGCTGCTGAGTGCAGAGTGCACAGTGCTGCTCAGAGCCCAGGATGTTCAGAAGGAAGTGCAAAGCAATACACACTGTATGTGTATCAAAGGTGTATGACTCATTGTCTGACTTATTTTTTTGTACAGGGATGGAACTTGGGACCTTGTGCTTGTGAGAGACAGAACCACTGAGTTAAAACCTTAGCCTAGTTGGGGATCTATTGTACTCAATAATCCCTTGTCACATTCAAATGACTCCAAGAGAGGAATGCAGCAAGTTTAATTGTACAAAACCCAAGAAAAAAGATAAAATTTTAATTCAGGCATCTACTAATTAACCAGGGGTTTCCAGAGATAGCCCAGGGAGAAATGACTACACGAGTTACTGAAAAAAAGAAAAAAACAACAACAAAACACCCCATATATATATAGGGCACTAATAATGACAGAATTCAAAGCTTGTATACTGATTGTACAATTGATTCTGTACAATACCAAAGTCATTGAAGTTTCCCTTGCACATCTCTAGCTTTAGCCTCCCAAATAGTTTGGATGCTAGATGTGTGCCACCACACCTGGCTTTAAGATTCCTCTTTAGCACAGCCCTAAACCTCATAGGTTTTTACCAAACATTATGTACAATAACAAGCCTAAATTAAGGCATGCTCCCACCAGCTTGAACCGCCATGCACGGGATAATCTTACACGTACCACTGAGTGGTTCAAGATGCCTGGCAGCAAGACATAGGAATTATGGCATATTATGAACATGTTAATCATTGCATAGAGGTGTTTAAAATGTCCCAAATGAAAGGCTAGTCATGAATACATCCTACCTTTGCCTCCTTAGGAGAAGTAACCCAAGGAATATCCTAAATGGAAACAGCCTCAAATTTAAAACTGAACACAAGGAATATAAATTTTGGCTCAAATAACAAATACCTACTGTACGAAAATCTTTTTCAAACTTGTAAGCACCACCTCCTGTAGCACATAGCACCGTGTGTAATGTTGAGAAGTTTTTATCTCTTCCCATTTGGATAAAAGTAGGCAGGTCCTGGGTTGGAAATCTGATAAAGTGCAAGTTCCCTCTTCGGCCAAAGAGTGTTAAATCCTTTAGTTCAAGGTGTACATCCCGAATGCCAGTGGATCCATATGCCACATTAGAAGTCAAATATTTCCGAATACTTTTTAGGCTCTCAACTTCCTCTTGTTCTTCCTCTGCTGTGATATCGATAGGTTCAAAGTAAGAGAGCTTTACTAGAGTTCCTCCAATGTCCATGCCAAACCAAGGGAAAGCTGTGAATAAAAAAAAAAAAAAAAAAAAAAGTAAATGTAGAGATTTTAGAAATTCAAACTGAGAACAAGCAGTTCATTTTCCACAAGCTCATTTATCCCGAATTATGCATTTAGTCACTAATAATCGGGTAAGATATATCTTCTATGTGTTTCTCACCTCTCTCCTTCAATTTTATTTGTATGTTTTCTAAAAACTTATAACATAGGCTACTCAAGAGGTGGTCCAGGGCCTTTTAATTCCTGGTCTAAGGTATTCCTTTTCTTCATCGAATACTTAACCTCATGCCACAGGAAATCTGAAGAATTTGAGTTAGTTGTTTCAAAAACTAGGCCATTACCTAGGGCATGAACATCTTTCTGCTTCTATAAAAGTTTTAATATAATAAAATTGGCCTATAATCACCCATGGGAAAAGTAGCTCCTTAAAAGAAAATTTATTTTCTACTTACATTTTGCTCACTAAACAAAGTTGATTTCTCCAGTAAATGTTAACACTGCTGAAGCTAAGCCATACTCTGGAATTATCCTTCAGGTTTGGGACTTGGGGGTTCTCTTAATAACTGTGCTACATGATTCTAGAAAATCTATTAATCTCTCAGTATATGACTCAATTCTCTTCAGTAAATCAGAAATGTAAAATAAGATAAAATTTCGGCCTCCAAAGAGAGCTCAATCTATCAGGGAATACAAATATAAATACACAACAATTAGACAGATAAAATAAATTCTGGGCTTGTTTAATTGTGGGAAATACTAAACAAAACAAAACAAAAAACCTACCGAGGAAATCAACATAGAGACCTAGGAAAAGACTGAGGCTGAGAAATAGGAATCACAAAGGGTCCTGTACACTAGGCAAAGGAGCTTAGATTGCAATTTGTAGGCAAGGGTGCTGCTGCTGACAAGAAGGGATACAGTCTACCTGCAAATTAAAATGCTTGTTTAGTGGCATGGCACAGGATACACAAACATTGAAGATATACCTACAGAATAAGCCCAAGGTACCTTAAATACAGATCAAAATCACCTAGCTATTAAGTGTAAAAATACAGATTTTCAGGGCCAGGGATTTAGCTCAGTGGTGCTGCCGCCTGCCTCGCAAGCACAAGGTCTTGAGTTCGATCCATAGTACCAAAAATAAAGTAAAATAAAAAAAAGATTTCCGAACCCGCATTCCACAGGCATTGGACAATATTTAAGAGATCTGGGACTCCTTACATATATACACCTATACCCATAAAGATTATATATGATATTCAACCATAAGAGCTAAATGGCTATTTGCTATTCTACAATGTGATTTGTTGCCAGCCGTAATCTTTATATAGATGCAAGGCAGTATTTATTTGTTCCCGATAGTGGGAAAAACATCAGTGCTCCAATATTATGAATTATAAAATTTAATTCTTAAAATTGTTTAAAGCACAAATTAAGTTTCCATGAAATTATAGCTGACAATTACTGAGCACGCGATAGCAGTCATAAATGTTCATTTACCTCAAAACCCCTAGTATGAATTAAGATATGAGAGATTACAATTTTTTAAAAAATATCAATTTTAGTTGATTCATGTGTACAATTAGAAAACTGGAAAAATGATTCAATGAGAATTCTACAGACATTTCTCTACTGTAGAATCTACACATTTATTAAAATTATTGCGATTTTGAATGTGAGGAATTCTATTTTTAAGTTTCAAATCCAAATTGCACAACTCAAGCGATACTAAAAATAATTTTAAAAAGTAAAAGACTTTTAAAACAACAAAGGGATTTTAGGCTGTAATTTGATAAGCACGGGACTGTAAGATCCTAAACAAGTACTATAATTTTAGGTCACCCATAAAAGAGGCAGGATGTACCCTGTACAGGTGCAAATTCTTTAGGAAGAGTATTATCATAATGTAACCCTAAACTGCACCAAAAATGTTTTGTTACGTAAAAAATAAATTTTAAATAAAAATGAGAAGCAGGGAACTAACCCCAAGGCCTAGGGCATGTTTAGGCAAGGGCTCTACTACTGAGCTCTAACTCAGGCCAAGGTCATCTTAAATAAAATACACTCTCTACAGGAAGAGCACACCTTTTACAGAAACTATAAAGTAATATATCCTTGAGTAAAATGAAGTACACTGTGATTTATCACTAAGTTTTGCTTTCAGTTTATTCACAAAATCTAGTTTCTGGGATAGGGTCTCACTATGCAGTTCAGACTGGCCTTGATCTTGTAGAGATTCTTCTGCCTCAGCTTCCTGAGGGCTGGCGTTATAAGCCTGTGCCACCACGCCTGGTTAAAATTGTTTTTGGGCCAGGAATTTAGTTCAGTGGCACTGTGCCTGCCTTGCAAGTGCAAGGTCTGGAGTTCGATTTCTGACACTGAAAATAAATAAAATTTGTGTTTTTTGAGAATACTCATCTTTACACCTTCAGTATTGTGATTCCTGAGGACAGATTTGGGTAAATATTTTCTATAATAAATTACTTCTAAGGGGAGGTATATTAGCAATTATTTCTTTCAAATGTACCTTATTACCCATTAAAAAATGTTAACTCTATACTAAGTTTATAAACAGGCCAAATTATGGAGAACCAGATTACACATATATGCTACATAATTCTCTCTGCCTAACAAAAATTTCTAGGACCTTACTACTTGTGGGTCAGCAAAGCACTGACTCAAAATCTGTATTACACATTTAGATATACAGGGGGCCCTTAACTTGTTAACTCCATCAGTTCCGGAGGGCTAGTTGTAACAAGTCAACACAGCTGACATCTGAAATGTTTACTGGGTATATGCTATAGATAACAAGAGGCAGATGAATCTTCCATTAACCTAATTAACTCAAGTTGTTCCTATTTCAGGCTGGTTGTACCTTGAGGGTCTACGGTACTTAGCATCCTTCATTACAACCTTGTTGTTGATCCAGTCACATGACATATAGGTAAATCAAACACAAGCTGGAAAATGTATGCCTTAAATCCCTCAGCTTAGAGAGGAATACTACTGATTTACTTTCTCCTTTGCCTGGCATTGAATTAACACAATCTCAAATGCTAACCTAGTTATACAGTCTACATGGCGAAATAAATTCCTTGCAAGAATTTCTGGCTAATAAAAAGTATTTCGTTTGTAACCTGATAATATATTGGTGATATACCTAAAAGTAATGTTTTCTAACACTTAAGCGATTCAGGCAAGAAAACGTATAAAGGCAAATCACTTGTTTTTTTGTTCTGCTTCTTTCCATTTTTTGAGACAGTCTCACTATGTCATTCAGGCTAAGCGATTCAGGCAAGAAAATGTATAAAGGCAAATCACTTGTTTTTTTGTTCTGTTTCTTTCCATTTTTTGAGACAGTCTGCCTCTGTCATTCAGGCTAGCCTGGAACTTGTGAGATCCCTTCTGAAGCTTCTTGAGTGCTGAGATTTACAGGCGTGCCCCACCACACCCTGCTAGTCAAATCACTCATTTAGTCAATATGATATATAGCTTCCTTTAGCATCTCTGTACGTTAAATGCCACATGTATACAAAGTAGAACTTTAACAAGTCAATAAATACAACTATTACAAAAACCACAACCTACTCAAGTAGGTATTAAAAAACAGGAAAAAATAAAAGGGCTGGGAATTTAGGTCAAAGGTTCTGCCGCCTGCCTTGGGAGCACAAGGACATGAGTTCAATCCCCGTACCCGCCCCCCCCCCCAAATTCAACATTTTCCAGTTGTAAATAAATCTAGGACAGTTCAGGGTAGAAAGACCTTTTCCATACATACAGAAACAAGGTGCTCTTTATTTTTTACTATAAAGATTTTAGTAGGCACTTTTTTTACCCAGAAAGAGCTGTGTGTGTTATTTTAGACTTGTAAATCAAATTCCCTAGGCAGGTTTTTTTTTTAGCATAATTCTTTTTAAGATTTAACTAGAACTAATGGTTTAACGTACCACAATGTAGTAATAAAACTTTTTTGAAAAAGGCATTCTTTGCAAACCGGGTGTGGTGGCACACACCTGTAATTCCAACACATGGGAAGCTAAGGCAAGAGGATGGAGAGTTCAAGGCCAGCCTAAAGTACACAGTGAGACCCTGTCTCCAAAAAAGGGGATGCTTTCATTTCTCGACCCATTTCTACATACCTGTTCTGATAATCATTGTAAATTTTGAAATAAATATGAAGAGGGTATTCTCACATTAGTTTGCCCCAAGCTAAGAAATCAATAACTTATCAGAATGTAAAGAAAACACCACCTTAAGAGTCACAACATGAGTTTATGATACTCTTCAGAAAATGGAAATTTTAAGATAAACAGAAAATGTGTGTCTGAGGGCAGATGTCCAAGTATTCTACATTACTGCATCTCTTCAAGATGTATTAAGGTATTTCAGCAAACGTAAAAAGTTCTTCTACATTGTTATTTAAACTAGTGCTATCACTGTTTTATAGACTCAATCCAGGCCTGGTGGCGCTTGCCTGTAATCATAGCACAAAGGAGGCTGAGGTAGGAGGATCACCACAAATCTGAGGCCAGCGTGAACTATATAGCTAGACCTGTCTTAAAACAAGTGTGTGTTTTTCTGTTTTGTTTTGTTTTTGGTACCGGGAATCGAACTCAGGTCCTTGTGTTTGCGAGGCAGGCGGCGGGAACCACTGAGCTAAATCCCGGGCTACCTGTCTTAAAACAAAACAAAAAAACTATTTTATAGACTCTGAAATACAACAAGAATTCTGCAGCTACAACAAGAAATCTCCATGAAAATTGTTTTTTTTTTAGCAGACACATCTACCAGATAAGAAAAGTTTGCATTTCGCAAGTCTTTAGACTATGCCCCACAGGTGACTTTAAACTAGCTGATTTAGGATTCTGAACTTTGTTAGCACACAGCTGGTAGGGGGAGGCCTCGGAGAAAGTTACCCTGAGGTGAAGTTCAAAGTCCTCCTTAGTAAAAGACCAAGGTATCACACATTTAAATAAATAATTTTCAGTTCTTAGGCAGCTTGCTTCTCCAGTGTGGTTTAAGAGATCGCTGGTGGGCCCAAAGGCAGAGGTTTTTACAGTCCTTTAAAGATGCAGATTTTTTCAGACCAGGCTTGGTGGTGGAGCAAGCCTGTAATCTCAACACTTGAGAGGCTGAGGCAGAAGGATCGCCGAGTTTGAGGCCAGCTTGGGCTAAGCAGTGAGTTTTGAGGCCTGCGTGAACTCCATTGTGAGGCCTTGTCTCAACCCTCCCCCGACCCAAATTCTTCCAAAACCCTCAGAAGACATACTGTCAACTTAAACTTTCAGGAGAACAGAAACACAAAGGAAAAGCAGATTTTTCAGAATAGCTGGGAGGAGCCCATGAAACATTGCAAAAACTGCAAATTATAATTCTAACATTTGAGCACGGATCTTCACATTCCTAGTAGTCCAGGAGACTTAAGAGTGTGACAATCACAACGAATGAGCAATGTAATAAACCAATTACAGAAATAAAACTTCTAAAAAACTACATATAAAGGGAGGCAAATGAGTTCTGCTTTCTTACAGTTTAAGATTTTTTTTTTTAAGTACACAAATACACACGCAGAGAAAAATCTCTGCAGGTACTCCCCGTAGTATTAACGGTGGCTCGATCCGGGTCGGGGGAATACAGGTGTTTTTAATCTTTCCGTTTTTGTATTTTAGAACACAAACGTGATCTGATACTCTACAGAAAAAGCGCCTAATTTACCCAATGGCAAGTTATATGCACGTGTGTTTGAAATCTCCAATTGCAACAATAGCGACAACTCTTCAGAAAAGCACTGGATTTCAAGGACACAAGCAAGAAGCCCGGAAAATGCTAGAAATGGGTAGTAACTGCCTCTCGCTCACAGCCACGACCATCTCTTTCAACCTGATTTCACGTCTCGAGAAGGGAGTAGCACCTCCACTGTCGTTGGGCAAAACCCGAATCAAAAATTCCCTCTTGCAAGCTCCCAGCTCACGAAGAGGAAGTGGGAGGACAGGGGTAGGGGGCGGCAGGCGCTCAGCAGGCAGCGCAGGGGGATGGGGAGGTCGGCCGCGCGAACCAGCGGCTGATAAGGTTTCTCCGCTTTCCTCCCGCGCAAGGCGAGCGCGAGAAACGACCCGCCGGGACCCAGGCCGCTTCGCTGGAGGTTCCAGGCGCGGCCTAAGGGCGCCCTCCCAACCCGGAGG